AACTGGTTGTGTGACGAAACTTTGAAGAGGTCTGAGTTAAAGTCGCCGAGCAAACGGCTCTATAATTTCTTCACATCTAAAGGTGTACTAACAGACTCGCAGTTTGGATTTAGAAAAGGCCATTCTACCGCCCATGCTCTACACAAATCTATAGACTCTGTTACAAAGTCCCTGGCTAGCAATAAACATGTCCTAGGCATATTCATTGACTTGAGCAAAGCCTTTGACACCCTTGATCACAATATTCTTCTAAGCAAGCTAAATTCCTAATATGGTATTAGGGGCACAGCACTAACTTTACTAAAAAGCTACTTGACTAACAGAAAGCAGTATGTGATGTATAACGATGTACCATCAGAAACAATGGATGTGGAATTCGGGGTTCCTCAAGGGTCAAAACTTGTTCAAGTACCATTGCATTTCAGAATTCTCTAAGATTATCAAGTACCACTGCCCATACTCCCTTTATGAGGCCATCAACATTTCAAACCGTACCGTTTAACGGTTATTCTTCTTAATAAATCAAATACTTTTTTGTTCACTGCAGCCAAGCTTTGGAACACTGTTCATAAAAAAATTCTAACCTCAAGCAATTGCCTAGAAACTTCCATTAACTTGATAAAATTGAGAACCAAGGCACTATTATTACAAGTACAGGCTGCTGATTTAAAAGATACTTGGAATCCAAACAATTTTAAATTGCAGTAATCTATTCTTATCGCAGCAGCACACACTTAACACACTTAATATTACTATCATGATTGTATTATAGACTGAAAAGCTCTCAGATCAATTTTGGGCGTTTTTAACCACTTGTTGTAATGTTTTTAATTATTTAATATCTTAACTTAACTAAATTTTTATTCAGATCGAATTAACAAATAATATTTGATAATTTATTCGATAGTTTAGTCTGATATTGATATTGACTATATTGATATTGTTATTATTGAATGAAGTTAACTCCAGACGTACATAATATTACTTCTTTTAACAAAGGGACTTGGAGTATAAACGACCAAGTTAGCATACATTTTCAACCAACCAAGAATTCTGGAGGCAAAGGTGGGTGCGTAAACTTTATGGTCTGTACTCTCCGATCCTGTATCACCCAGGATTCTTTTCAACGTTTTTGGTAAAAGGTATATACCTTCTAGTCAATCTCTTGCTTCTCCAAGTCCCCCAAGATTTCTAAACTAAAGTTCGTCCTAGTTATATTATATTATATAAAATATATTTTTTGTTTGCTGTAACTGATACTAAATAAAATTGTTGTTTTCCTGAAATTGTTGTTTTCCTGAATTCTAGGGCCATTACTCTTCCTACTGTATATGAACGATATAGTAAACTGTTTTTCAGACAGTGAAGTGAAATTTGTACTTTATGCTGATGACACTAATATCTTCATATCAGGACCGTCTAGAGAAGCAACATACAAAAAAGCCAACTTAGTGCTTAAACATGTTTCGATTTATATGAAATGTAATCTACTTCATATCAACATGTCAAAATGCTGCTACATCCATTTTAAACCTGCCTCTGAATATGATGACACTTGTGCACGGACTAGACCATTTGCTACCCTGCTAGATGAATCTAGATCAATATTCATCAATGGTAAGGTTATCACTAAAGTCAAGGATACCAAATTCTTAGGTGTTGTTATAGATAGTAAGCTAAACTGGTCTGCCCACATGCACTACATCCGTAAAAAACTGAGGTCCATGACTGGTGCAATCTGTAGAATTCGGCACTCGATACCTGCTGAACTATATTTGAAAATATATAATGCTCTATTTGAATCACATCTAAGTTATGGTATAAGTGTTTGGGGAGTTGTCCTCAAAGAACGGTCAAATGATAGTCTTTTTATCACACAGAAGCACTGTATAAGAATCCTTTTTGGTGATCTCGACTCCTATCTAGATAAACAATCAACATGTGCAAGAACTAGACCATATGGCATGCAAATACTAGGCCATAAACATTTTGAAAAGGAGCATACGAAACCCATTTTTAATAGGTTAAAAATTCTTACGGCTCAAAACTTGTACAAATATCACTGCATTTTAGAATTCTCTAAGATTATCAAGTACCACTGCCCATACTCCCTTTATGAGGCTATCAACATTTCAAACCATGCAACGAGTCTAACAGTTATTCTTCTAAATAAATCAAATACCTTTTTGTTTAATGCAGCCAAGCTTTGGAACACTGTTCATAAAAAAATTTTAACTTCAAGCAATTGTCTAGAAACTTCCATTAACTTGATAAAATTGAGAACGAAAGCACTATTAATACAATCACAGGCTGCTGACTTAAAAGAGACTTGGACTCCAAACAATTTTAAGTTACAGTAATTTAATCTAATTGCAGCGGCACATAACATAATTTAAACTATTGCTATCATTATTGTACTACAGACTGAAAATATCTCAGATCTATTTTGGGCGTTTTTAACAACTTGTAGTCGTAATTCTTAAATATTAGATATCCTAATTTATAACTTTTTAATCAGAGTGAATTAATAATTGATATTTGATAATTTATTTATTTGATAGTTTAGTCTGATATTAATATTAATATTGATTATATTGATATTGTTATTATTGAATGAAGCTAACTCCAGACATAAATAATACTACTTCTATTAACAAAGGGACTTGGAGTATAAACGACCAATTTTGCATTTTCCACTTTCCAACCAAGAATTCAGGAGGCAAGGGTGGGTGCGTAAACTTTATGGTCTGCACTCTCAGATCCTGTATCACCCTGGATTCATTTCGACGTATTTTTGGTAAAAGTATACATATACTTTCTGGTCACTCTCTTGCTACTCCAAGTCCCCTAAGATACATGGTCTAAAGTTTGCACTAGTTATATATATAAAATATGTTTTTGTCTGCTTTAACTGATACTAAATAAAATTGTTGTTTTCTTGAAATTGTTGTTTTCTTGAATGTTGACTGTAGAATTTCTACGATACAGGTGAGCGCGAGCCGCGCACTCGCGCGTGGCTGGTCATAGCATACAACGTACGACAAACTATAATAAGAGCCCTCTCGTTTGCAGTATGCTGCCGTTCCCTGACAAAAGACAGTAAATCCATTTTTCGAATTTTGAGATATTGGTACAAAAATTTTCAGAAAAAGATTCTTAACAATTTTAGCTTTGACTCACGTTATAAAAATATTGTTTTAGCTGTCACTTAATTGACGATGTAAATTTATCGCAGCTCGGCGAGGCCCAGTAGCGCATCTCGCCGATCTAGTGAGGTTGCGAGAAGCATAATTGAGTGCCATGCACGGCCCAGTAACGCATTGCGCTACAAGCTGTCACAAAAGGCAGTAAGTCACATTGTAGCGCGATGCACCACTGGGCCGCGCGTGCATCCAATAATGCTTCTCGCAACAACGTATACAAAGGATTGACATCGTGAATCAATAAGTCGCACAAAACGTAACAATTTAGCATGTTATAGTCTTGCTCTATCCAGAGCCCTTCCGCTTGCAGTAGCGCGCGCCCGCCTCACGGCGGTAAAAAAGCTCTAGCCATCAACCCACCCAAAGATTTTGGCACCACTCTACAGTGGTGCCAAAATTACCCGCGCTTTTGTCCTCATATGCGACGTGTGTTGCCTTTTAGACATTGATTGCGTAAACGAGGTGTCGTACGTCACCTCAAGATCAGGTGACTGGGGGCTGACCATGCCCGAACCTAATTGATCATTGATTGGGTCTGAGGTCACGTGATTATGAGCCTATGAGGTCACGTGATTATGGGCCTATGAGGTCACGTGATTATGAGCCTATGAGGTCACGTGACTATGACGTCACCAGACCTTGTCCTCGGTTTCCCGCTCATTGGACCAGTTGAGCTTGCATGCTTGTGAATGTAGGTGTAAGTACAGCTGTACTGTAGTTTATACCTAATTAACCCCTATACACCGTCACTATGCACTATAGAAACCTAAAAGTGGTTACTGCATACTGGAGGGAGAAGTGCCAAGACTACCTGCGCTACATAGACGCTGTTGTCAGCACTGCGCACGCGCGCACGAACCTTCCCATCGGGGTTCGTGGATAGGTGCTTTTCTTGACTTGTGAAACAAGCGCGCCCGAAGTGGCGCGAAAGCACATGGTTAGGTGAAGTTATAGTCCACTCCACTCCACTCCACTCCACTCCACTCCACTCCACGCGACTCGACTCGACTCGACTCGACTAGACTTACCTGGAGACCTCAGGCTATCATGTTCATAAACGAAAAGAGATTAGGCGGAATGACAGGCTGAGCGCGGCCCAGTAAGACTCGACTCGACTCCAATCGACTCGACTCCACTCCACTCCACTCCACTCCACTCCACTCCACTCCACTCTACTCCACTCCACTCCACTCCACTCCACTCCACTCCACTCCACTTTTAATCACCTGGTGTTGGGGTGTTTTGCTCCCCAGTACCGAATTTTGCAGTTCTATCGAGCGTGCTAAATCACTTTACAGTCGATCTTCGAGATTGTTCTAAAAGGGTATCCGACAATTGAAACCAACTTCAATCGATGTATTTTCGGACACTGATTCCGAATAACGCCCCTTGACATACATATACGGTTAAAATGTTCCCCTGACGAGATATTGGCGAAAAACTGTCTTGATCACGTGATATGACCGTATAAGGAAGTTAGTCTAATTTCTCGATAAGGTTAGGGTTTCAGCATATGCTTTTGTTAAGGATTGGGTTAGGGTTAGGGTTGGGATCAGATTAAAGGGTTAGGGTTTCGAATAGTCGTTCAGGACCAGCTAGAGAACGGGTTGAAAAAGTCACGTGACAGTTGAGCGTAGAGTGATTAATCATCATCCGGCCCCTTTTTCTATTTTCAAAAGTAGGGCAACCTCCACTAAGCACCACCGGCATATGAAATAAAACAGTAATGTTTCATAATATATAAATAATATATAAATGCTAACCATGTTTATATAATTGTTTGTTCTGCTGTAATACAACAACAAAAACTCAACAACCAGTTATGTGAATGTTCCTTAAATCCTCAATTTTGTTCGCTAAATTTATTAAAATAAAATATTTAGCTTATTTAGAGGAGCAAATAATAAATCTTCTAGCCCATGGGATGTGGTACCTCTGCAGCAGTTAGTGGAATTGATCGGCACTTTAGAGGAGCGTTCTTAGTAGAGGAGCGTTCTTCTAAATCTGACAGACTAACAGAAACGACAACAAGTGTTTCTGTTAAATTACCACATGAGTGCATGTGCAGTTCTATTGTTCAACCGCCAGATGACAAGATAAACAGTAATGAGGATCCCCAAAACAACGAGCGCAGTTCTAGTGTTCAACCACCAGATGACAAGATAAACAGTAATGAGGATCCCCAAAACAACGAGCGCAGTTCTAGTGTTCAAACACCAGATGACAAGATAAACAGTAATGAGGATCCCCAAAACAACGAGCGCAGTTCTAGTGTTCAAACACCAGATGACAAGATAAACAGTAATGAGGATCCCCAAAACAACGAGCGCAGTTCTAGTGTTCAAACGCCAGATGACAAGATAAACAGTAATGAGGTCGAGGATCCCCAAAACATCAGTAAGTTTACTTCTTTGTTGACTTTTCTGTTCCATTTTTCGGCCAATTACTTTTTCTAGTATACAGAGACTCTCACTTAGAGCCCCTCAATGTGTAATCTCCCACTCTCCCACTTTTAATTTAGAGTTTTCCTGTGGAGTTTGGGGCTAAGAAATATCAAAAGCAGGATTTGACTTAATTGATCCTCCTGTATACTGATAGTTGGATAATATCCGGTTGGAAGAGACAAGGACAGGAAATGAAACAGGAAGTTAAGAATGTAGGCAAATTCTCGGCCTCAAATTATTTGTTATATAATAGTAGTGTTGAAAATATTTTACCACATAAAGAGAGAGGAGGTAACACATATCTTGCAAATATATGCGGTGTGTACCACATAAAGAGAGAGGAGGTAACACATATCTTGCAGGTATATGCGGTGTGTACCACATAAAGAGAGAGGAGGTAACACATATCTTGCAGGTATATGCGGTGTGTACCACATAAAGAGAGAGTAGCTAACACATATCTTGCAGGTATATGCGGTGTGTACCACATAAAGAGAGAGGAGGTAACACATATCTAACAGGTATATGCGGTGTGTACCACATAAAGAGAGAGAAGGTAACACACATCTAACAGGTATATGCGGTGTGTACCACATAAAGAGAGAGGAGGTAACACACATCTAACAGGTATATGCGGTGTGTACCACATAAAGAGAGAGGAGGTAACACACATCTAACAGGTATATGCGGTGTGTACCACATAAAGAGAGAGGAGGTAACACACATCTAACAGGTATATGCGGTGTGTACCACATAAAAAGAGAGAAGGTAACACACATCTAACAGGTATATGCGGTGTGTACCACATAAAGAGAGAGGAGGTAACACACATCTAACAGGTATATGCGGTGTGTACCACATAAAGAGAGAGGAGGTAACACACATCTAACAGGTATATGCGGTGTGTACCACATAAAGAGAGAGGAGGTAACACACATCTAACAGGTATATGCGGTGTGTACCACATAAAGAGAGAGGAGGTAACACATATCTTGCAGGTATATGCGGTGTGTACCACATAAAGAGAGAGAAGGTAACACACATCTAACAGGTATATGCGGTGTGTACCACATAAAGAGAGAGGAGGTAACACATATCTAACAGGTATATGCGGTGTGTACCACATAAAGAGAGAGGAGGTAACACATATCTAACAGGTATATGCGGTGTGTACCACATAAAGAGAGAGGAGGTAACACACATCTAACAGGTATATGCGGTGTGTACCACATAAAGAGAGAGGAGGTAACACACATCTAACAGGTATATGCGGTGTGTACCACATAAAGAGAGAGGAGGTAACACACATCTAACAGGTATATGCGGTGTGTACCACATAAAGAGAGAGGAGGTAACACATATCTTGCAGGTATATGCGGTGTGTACCACATAAAGAGAGAGGAGGTAACACATATCTAACAGGTATATGCGGTGTGTACCACATAAAGAGAGAGGAGGTAACACATATCTTGCAGGTATATGCGGTGTGTACCACATAAAGAGAGAGGAGGTAACACACATCTAACAGGTATATGCGGTGTGTACCACATAAAGAGAGAGGCGGTAACACACATCTAACAGGTATATGCGGTGTGTACCACATAAAGAGAGAGGAGGTAACACATATCTAACAGGTATATGCGGTGTGTACCACATAAAGAGAGAGGAGGTAACACATATCTAACAGGTATATGCGGTGTGTACCACATAAAGAGAGAGGAGGTAACACACATCTAACAGGTATATGCGGTGTGTACCACATAAAGAGAGAGGAGGTAACACATATCTAACAGGTATATGCGGTGTGTACCACATAAAGAGAGAGGAGGTAACACATATCTAACAGGTATATGCGGTGTGTACCACATAAAGAGAGAGGAGGTAACACACATCTAACAGGTATATGCGGTGTGTACCACATAAAGAGAGAGGAGGTAACACATATCTAACAGGTATATGCGGTGTGTACCACATAAAGAGAGAGGAGGTAACACATATCTAACAGGTATATGCGGTGTGTACCACATAAAGAGAGAGGAGGTAACACACATCTAACAGGTATATGCGGTGTGTACCACATAAAGAGAGAGGAGGTAACACACATCTAACAGGTATATGCGGTGTGTACCACATAAAGAGAGAGGAGGTAACACACATCTAACAGGTATATGCGGTGTGTACCACATAAAGAGAGAGGAGGTAACACACATCTAACAGGTATATGCGGTGTGTACCACATAAAGAGAGAGGAGGTAACACATATCTTGCAGGTATATGCGGTGTGTACCACATAAAGAGAGAGGAGGTAACACATATCTTGCAGGTATATGCGGTGTGTACCACATAAAGAGAGAGGAGGTAACACATATCTAACAGGTATATGCGGTGTGTACCACATAAAGAGAGAGGAGGTAACACACATCTAACAGGTATATGCGGTGTGTACCACATAAAGAGAGAGGAGGTAACACATATCTAACAGGTATATGCGGTGTGTACCACATAAAGAGAGAGGAGGTAACACACATCTAACAGGTATATGCGGTGTGTACCACATAAAGAGAGAGGAGGTAACACACATCTAACAGGTATATGCGGTGTGTACCACATAAAGAGAGAGGAGGTAACACACATCTAACAGGTATATGCGGTGTGTACCACATAAAGAGAGAGGAGGTAACACATATCTTGCAGGTATATGCGGTGTGTACCACATAAAGAGAGAGAAGGTAACACACATCTAACAGGTATATGCGGTGTGTACCACATAAAGAGAGAGGAGGTAACACACATCTAACAGGTATATGCGGTGTGTACCACATAAAGAGAGAGGAGGTAACACACATCTAACAGGTATATGCGGTGTGTACCACATAAAGAGAGAGGAGCTAACACATATCTAACAGGTATATGCGGTGTGTACCACATAAAGAGAGAGGAGGTAACACATATCTAACAGGTATATGAGGTGTGTACCACATAAAGAGAGAGGAGGTAACACATATCTAACAGGTATATGCGGTGTGTACCACATAAAGAGAGAGGAGGTAACACATATCTAACAGGTATATGCGGTGTGTACCACATAAAGAGAGAGGAGGTAACACACATCTAACAGGTATATGCGGTGTGTACCACATAAAGAGAGAGGAGGTAACACACATCTAACAGGTATATGCGGTGTGTACCACATAAAGAGAGAGAAGGTAACACACATCTAACAGGTATATGCGGTGTGTACCACATAAAGAGAGAGGAGGTAACACACATCTAACAGGTATATGCGGTGTGTACCACATAAAGAGAGAGGAGGTAACACATATCTAACAGGTATATGCGGTGTGTACCACATAAAGAGAGAGGAGGTAACACACATCTAACAGGTATATGCGGTGTGTACCACATAAAGAGAGAGAAGGTAACACACATCTAACAGGTATATGCGGTGTGTACCACATAAAGAGAGAGGAGGTAACACACATCTAACAGGTATATGCGGTGTGTACCACATAAAGAGAGAGGAGGTAACACATATCTAACAGGTATATGCGGTGTGTACCACATAAAGAGAGAGGAGGTAACACACATCTAACAGGTATATGCGGTGTGTACCACATAAAGAGAGAGGAGGTAACACACATCTAACAGGTATATGCGGTGTGTACCACATAAAGAGAGAGGAGGTAACACATATCTTGCAGGTATATGCGGTGTGTACCACATAAAGAGAGAGGAGGTAACACACATCTAACAGGTATATGCGGTGTGTACCACATAAAGAGAGAGAAGGTAACACACATCTAACAGGTATATGCGGTGTGTACCACATAAAGAGAGAGGAGGTAACACATATCTAACAGGTATATGCGGTGTGTACCACATAAAGAGAGAGGAGGTAACACATATCTAACAGGTATATGCGGTGTGTACCACATAAAGAGAGAGGAGGTAACACATATCTAACAGGTATATGCGGTGTGTACCACATAAAGAGAGAGGAGGTAACACATATCTTGCAGGTATATGCGGTGTGTACCACATAAAGAGAGAGGAGGTAACACATATCTTGCAGGTATATGCGGTGTGTACCACATAAAGAGAGAGGAGGTAACACATATCTAACAGGTATATGCGGTGTGTACCACATAAAGAGAGAGGAGGTAACACATATCTTGCAGGTATATGCGGTGTGTACCACATAAAGAGAGAGAAGGTAACACATATCTTGCAGGTATATGCGGTGTGTACCACATAAAGAGAGAGGAGGTAACACATATCTAACAGGTATATGAGGTGTGTACCACATAAAGAGAGAGGAGGTAACACATATCTTGCAGGTATATGCGGTGTGTACCACATAAAGAGAGAGGAGGTAACACATATATTGCAGGTATATGCGGTGTGTACCACATAAAGAGAGAGGAGGTAACACATATCTTGCAGGTATATGTGGTGTGTACCACATAAAGAGAGAGGAGGTAACACACATCTAACAGGTATATGCAGTGTGTACCACATAAAGAGAGAGGAGGTAACACATCTAACAGGTATATGCGGTGTGTACCACATAAAGAGAGAGAAGGTGACACATATCTTGCAGGTATATGCGGTGTGTACCACATAAAGAGAGAGAAGGTAACACACATCTAACAGGTATATGCGGTGTGTACCACATAAAGAGAGAGGAGGTAACACACATCTAACAGGTATATGCGGTGTGTACCACATAAAGAGAGAGGAGGTAACACACATCTAACAGGTATATGCGGTGTGTACCACATAAAGAGAGAGGAGGTAACACATATCTTGCAGGTATATGCGGTGTGTACCACATAAAGAGAGAGGAGGTAACACATATCTTGCAGGTATATGCGGTGTGTACCACATAAAGAGAGAGGAGGTAACACATATCTTGCAGGTATATGCGGTGTGTACCACATAAAGAGAGAGGAG